TAATTTCCTAAATTCTTGCCAAAAATTTCCATTCACGCGGAATGTTAATAATCTAATGTTAAGGTATTAGAACATCCGACCGGTCGGTGTTCAGTTATGTTTATTTATGATACTTGTCATTCTTGTTAATTTATATATACATATATATAACTATAGCATAGATAGGGCCAATATAGAGGGATCTTTTTGTGTTATATGCTACAATTTGTACATAAGCATAGATTATTTTTGTAATACATTCACTTCTCCAGGTGTTCCTTTCATTAAGAGTTGTTGTTTTACAACTGGGTTTTTTTCTACTTTCTGACAAATATGATGAAACTGATATTGCAAAAGGCGGTATTCATGAGGATTACAAGTGATACAAGACTTTGCATATAGATACATTTAATTATTAAATTAAGAATTCAGGAATTTGTTCTTGGAATGTATTGGTATTTAAAGCAACAGTTTCAATCCTTTTCCCAACTGTAACAAAATTATAATAAAATGAACGGCGGCAGAATCGCAATTTTACTAAATTTGAAATTATAACCATGAGCTGTTTATATATTGTAATGTAGCTTTCGGCGATAGTGTGAAAGAATGCATACAAGTGTCTCGTTGAAATGTAATTTCGGCACGAGTGTCTACCATCCGTCAGGTTTCGAAAGCTAGCCGTTACCTCAATAATCGGTTATTTTTGCTGTATACAAAAAAAAAAAAGATTTGAGACCATCAATATTAAAATTGAAGTGAAAATATTTTGATTAAACCTCCTATCAAACCATCTGTTGTAATATTTTACATTTCCACATATTTTACTTATATTATAATTTTGTTATGTTTTTCATATAAATTCAAATAAAATAAAACAAAATAGATTGTTCATTTTAGTTTTACTTTATTCTTTATTCAAATTAGAGAAGTATTTTCACCAAATTAGCATAATTTTGTCACGATTAAAATAACGTTGTCACATCTTTTACAATTTTTCTGGGCTACAATTTACAGACCATCTTCGTTTAAATTTTACCTTAAAAAGTTTGAGGAGATATAAAACTGACACCTGTATATCATAAAAACATGTTTAAAACATGTAAAAATTAATTTTAAAGTCTAGAATCTCATAAGATACAGTGTCAGGAACATCTATCTTAAAATTATATAAATACGACACTATTATATCAAATTTGACTTTAACTATGACTTTGAAATATACTCCATGTATTAAAGGGGCACCAATAAGGTGCTAAAATCTACAAACAGAACATTTGAAAATCTTATATCGATCAAATTGTAGTGCTTAAAACGGAAAAAAAACATTTGAAAAAAAAGAAAATAAAGAAATATATGCAGAATTAAGTAAATAATCGATATTAATCTTAGCCCTTTTTGACTTAAAAGCGATCTTCAAACGCTTTTTATTTAGTCAGTGGAGTCCTTATGCAGACTAGCAAATACTTAGGAATTATGTACACATTAACATATTTATTTCAGAAGTAAAATAGCTATATGTTAAACACATAGCATCTGAAATTTACAAATACATGTGTATACCATACAAATGCATTATACCATACAAATGCATTATATCCTGTTTTTTAAAAACTTCTTCATAAATACAAGATAGTTATACAATGCAAAACCTCGTGCATGATTATAAGCAGTTTGCCCACATGTCCAGTATACGTTTAGCACATAACTTGAGCACATAACTTGAGCGTAGAAATCATAAACCCGTTTAAATCATATACTAGTATAAAATAGCTGGTGAAGCAGATTCCTATGGTCACAGAACTGTTCGGCAACTATTATTCAACCAATTTAGAAATTATACAATCATTTATATAATTCTTGCCAATCTGCTAAATATAGAAATGTATAATTGTTTACGACTTGTGTCAAAATATTTAGTAACAAATAGGCTGACAAGTACAGTAACAGTAAACTGACAACTTGTCAACAACATGAAGATAATTTCCTAAATATAAACAATTTATTGTAACAAAGATAGAAATATACATCCTTAAAAAGAAAAAAGAAAAATCACAATCCCTACTTTATATAAATACATGTATGCTATATCTTTTAAAAGCTTAAATTCACGCGAGGAAGCAATTTGAATGTAATTATATACATGTATTTAGAAATAGCAGCCCATAATGATGGCCAGTAAAATAAATTTGTAGTGTTATTAGTCGACCATAGACAATGCTACAAACTAAGTGACCAGACATGCTCTTAAATAGTATTAAGAAGTCATAGTTTACCTCTAAACATTTTTTAAAAAGTTTATGCCAAAACATATAGTGATGTATAAACTACCATCCAAATTTATGTATTAAAAATGGAAGAAAAGACGTGGAATGTATCTCATTATTCCCACAATAAATGTTTGTGGCCTGAATGAATGGTCACCATAATGCAATGAGGACCTCAGTATTGTATAAAGTATTTCTTTAATTGTAAGAGTATTTCAAAGGTGATTAAGGTACATAATAATGTATAGGGAGATTCGAATGAATGAATCAATCAATCAATAGATCGATCAATTGATTGATCAATCAATCAATCATAATCAAATCATAATACATATTTTGTTTCAGTTTTAACTAGAACTGCCACTATCATGGCGTGAATACCCCCGCATACCACTTTGTCAGAATCAACAGTGGCCATTTAGAGCTCAAGGACAACCTCCCTGCCAAATCTGAGGTTACTAAGCCAGTGCATTGCTAAGTTATGTATTCTACATGCTTCAAATGTGAAAATGTCAAATCAATACATTGCGGACAGGACATTCTTAAGCAATTGAGAAGAAAAGCTTTTTTTGTCAAGGTCCCTGTGACCTTTGACCCAGTGACCTCAAAATCAATAGGGGTCACCTTATAGTCATGATCAACATCCATGCCAAATATGAAGACTGTGGGTCAAAGGAATCTTAAGTTAATGGTTGGACAAACTTTTTGAAGTCAAAGTCCCTGTGACCTTGACCTTTGATCCAGTGACCTCAAAATCAAAAGGGGTCATCTACTAATCATGATCAACATCCATGCCAAATATGAAGACTGTGGGTCAAAGGAATCTAAAGTTAATGGTTGGACAAACTTTTTGAAGTCAAAGTCCCTGTGACCTTGACCTTTGACCTGGTGACCTCAAAATCAATAGGGGTCATCTACTAATCATGATCAACATCCATGCCAAATATGAAGACTGTGGGTCAAAGGAATCTAAAGTTATAGGGCGGACAAGCTTTTTGAAGTCAAAGTCCCTGTGACCTTGACCTTTGACCTGGTGACCTCAAAGTCAATAGGGGTTATCTACTTATCATGACTAACCTCCATGCCAAATATGAAGACTGTGGGTCAAAGAAATCTTAAGTTATTGGGCGGACAAGCTTTTTGAAGGTCAAGGCCCCTGTGACCTTGACATTTGACCTGGTGACCTCAAAGTCAATAGGGGTCATCTACTTATCATGACTAGCCTCCATGCCAAGTATGAAGACTGTGGGTCAAAGGAATCGTAAGTTATTGGGCGGACAAGCTTTTTGAAGTCAAGGCCCCTGTGACCTTTACCTTTGACCTCAAAGTCAATAGGGGTCATCTACTAATCATGACTTGCCTCCATGCCAAATATGAAGACTGTGGGTCAAAGGAATCCTAAGTTATTGGGCGGACAAGCTTTTTGAAGTCAAGGCCCCTGTGACCTTGACCTTTGACCTGGTGACCTCAAAATCATTAGGGGTCATCTACTAATCATGATCAACATCCATGCCAAATATGAAGACTGTGGGTCAAAGGAATCTTAAGTTATTGGGCGGACAAACTTTTTGAAGTCAAGGCCCCTGTGACCTTGACCTTTGACCTAGTGACCTCAAAATCAATAGGGGTCATGTACTTATCATGACTAACCTCCAAGCCAAATATAAAGACTGTAGGTCAAAGGAATCTTATGTTATTGGGCGGACCAGCTTTTTGAAGTCAAGGCCCCTGTGACCTTGACCTTTGACCTAGTGACCTCAAAATCAATAGGGGTCATCTACTAATCATGACTAATCTCCATGCCAAATATGAAGACTAAGGGTCAAAGGAATCTTAAGTTATTGGGCGAACAAGAAAAAAACGACGGACGGACGGCCGGACAAGCTGATTCCAGTATATCCCCCTTACAACTTTGTTGTGCGGGGGTATAAAAATGCACTAATCAATAATTTGAATGAACAAAATAGACAGAAATATTTTCAACTTTTTAATTTTATGATACCATACAACATTAAATAGCAACAAGCCAATGATTAGGTTATCTTTAGTAACACGTGTAGATAAAATAATAATCTTAAAATATAATGCTTTAACTTTAACAGAACATTTATATAAATAGTTAGAAGACTGATTTTGGAGAGAACATTAACACAGTAAAGTTGAACTACATTTTAATAGATTCAAAGATGGAAAGTTAAGGATTAAATGCGCTGTCATTCTACTGCTTACTGCTGTATTTATGACTAGGAGCCTGAATTCTTTATTATGGTCATTATCCATTCATTTATACAGATGAAAGATTATTCATTAATCTGCTTGAAGTAATTAGATTGTGACCTCAGTATAAAGCCAGGCCAGCATGAACTTACATGCAATCTGCACAGGCTCTACACTGTTGGTAACTTATTTCTGTACTTTGATATTGAAATCCCCTAAACTTTAAATTGACTGTTCCAAAAATTCAAAGTAGGTTAAATCTGGCACAAGTTGGTCAAGAGTTATATTTCACTGCTGTCTTTCTTCATAGTAAGGTGTGATATGTAAATTATACAGAAATTAAACTTTTCTTTTTCTATCAGCTGCAGCTCTTTTAAAGTCACCTTTATGCTGAGTTTTCCATTTTCTATTACGCAACACCTCTGAGCTTTGACCTTGACCTTTAGGTCCACCTTTGACATCATGAGTCTTTGGAGCCTGACTGGGTTTTGCCCTCCCAGCTTTGTATCTTGCCCTTTCTTCAGCCCTTTGTCTAAGCACTGCAGGATCTTCAAACAAAATTGTCACGTTTTTGCAAGCATTTGCATCTTCATCAGATTCTGTAACCATAGCTTCCATGAGAATAATTTTAAAACACAAAATGACATCATATATAAATAAAACTAGAACTATCATTAAAATTGTGATTAATACCCCCGCAAGACTGCTTCAGAAATGAGGAAGTTACTAGTAACAGAATACCTTGCAGAAAAACTGAGTTATGGTTGTGGGCAATTAAAGATAGTTGTGGTTCTTGTATGTTGCATTTCCTTTCAATGTGGTTGACCATTGATGAAGTTTTCTTGAATTACTCTGTAATAAGTCCAAAAAGAGTTATGATTCTTGTGCACTGCACTTCCCCTTATTGTACTTTTTGACCATTGTATGAAGTTGTTTTGAATTCAACCAGTAGTTTTCAAGTTATGCTCCGGACAAGGAAAAGTAACAAAGGGCAATAACTCTGTAATAAGTAAAGATGGAGTTATGGTTCTTGTGCACTGCACTTCCTCTCAATGTGCTTGACCATTGTATGAAGTTGTATGGAATTCCAACCATTAGTCTTCAAGTTATGCTCGGACAAGGAAAATGCAACGGACGGCTGACCTGACCAACCAACTGACCGACCACCGAGTGACTCCTATATACCCACCCCCCCCCCTCAAACTTCGTTTTGGGGGTATAATAATGACTTGAAAAACTTAACATATAGAACATTTAAACCAGTGTAGGGTATAAGTGAAAATGGCTATACTTTAGTTAAAAGATTTGACAGATTATATGTTACAGTATAAACAGTTAAGTTACACAACCCATTAGGCTATATAGCAAACAAATGTTTATATAGAACCATATAACCTGTATGAATATATAACCAAAGTCATAAGGCTATTAAGCAAAAACAACTGTTTATATAGAACCATATAACCTGTATGCATATACATGTATAACCAAACCTATTAGGACACATAGCTAAAAAGCTAAGCACATGTATACAGAACCATATAACCTGTATGAATATATAATCAAAGTCATAGGGCTATGTAGCAAAAACAACTGTTTAAACAGAACCATATAACCTATATGCATATACATGTTTAACCAAACCCATTAGGATATATAGCAAAAAGCCAAGTATACAGAACCATATAACCTGTATAATTTTATAACCAAAGTCATAAGGCTATATAGCAAACAACCATTTTACACAAAGACATAACCTGTCAAGTCTTTCTAACATATATAATACTGCAGAAAAGCAATCTTCGAATTCAAAAATTGCAGCAGCTGCTTATATACATAGCATAAAGATGAAAATTGATGTTACATTCATAACGATCCTTAATTCAACTTTATACCATATGACCAAGTAAATGGCCTTGGTAAAATGTGTCAAAATACAATGTATAACACATTATTTCAAGCAAGAAACGTGACCAATAACTCTTGGTCTCTCTCGCCCTAAATTCTTTTCACATTACAAGGTCAACACATACATATATATATATATCATTTTGTTCTTATATCTCTACTGCCATGAAATAGTCCTACATAATGTAAATAAACCATTGTAAGTTATTATAACTACTAGTATTTGGATGTAAGGCCTTATTGTATACCTCAGATTCTGAATAATTATGTCTGTCTGTCCGTGTTTGACCTCCAAGTATCCGAGGTGTTGTAAATGGTCTGCAAATAAAATATTATAAACTAGAAATGTGTCCATAGGACACGGATGCCCCCACACGCCACTGTTCTGTCAATCTTATGACTCTAGGTCAAATATTTTTTGGACTACATGTGCCACAAGTTGAAAACTAAAAATCGACAAAGGGCCATAATTCTGTTAAATTTGGTCGCAGCAAAAATTCCTTCCTTTACTACCATCTACAATTAAGGTTGTTAATCCTTGGAAAGTTTAAGCAAAATCTGCCATCCGGTTTAAGAGGAGTTGCGTTCACAAAATTTCTACATAGTATATAATGAAAAAATCAACAAAGGGGCCATAATTCTGTTAAATTTAGTTGCAGCAAAAATTCCTTCTTTACTACCATCTACACATTAAGGTTGTTCATCCTTGGAAGTTTTAAGCAAAATCTGCCCATCCGTTTAAGAGGAGTTGCATTCACAAAATTTCTACATAGTATATAGTGAAAAAATTCAACAAAAGGCCATAATTCTGTAAAAAATTTGGTCGCAGCAAAAATTCCTTCCTTTACTGCCATCTACACCTGAAGGTTGTTCATCCTGTAAGTTTAAGCAAAATCTGCCATCCGGTTTTAAGAGGAGTTGCGTTCACAAAATTTCTACATAGTAATCTAGTGAAAAAAATCAAAAAGGGCCATAATTCTGTTAAATTTAGTCGCAGCAAAAATTCCTTCCTTTACTGCCATCTACACATTAAGGTTGTTCATCCTGTAAGTTTCAGCAAAAATCTGCCATCCGGTTTAAGAGGAGTTGCGTTCACAAGATTCGGACGTACGGACGGACGGACGGACTGACGGACTGACGGACGGACGGACAAGTGCAACGCTATATGCTCCCACATTGTGGGGGCATAAAAATTACATGATTTTATTCAAAGTCAGTCAAGCCAATAAACAATGTATTGTTCATCAATATCAAGCAAGTGTATATACATGTGGGATTTTTGTTGGGTTTTACTTCACACCAACACAGTTTAGGTCATATGGCGACTTTCCAGCTTTTACTGGTGCAGAAAGACCTCAGAGGCCCTTCAATGGATTGTTTCAGGCACAAACAGGCACCCCAGTAGAACATGAAAAGTTAAATGTCATGGTAAAAATGAATAAGGCTTACAAGTACGCATTTATTATACAAATGTGTACTTATTAACATTAAGTGTACTACTTTAAACAAATTTGCTCTAATTCAAATAAATTGCCACCAAATTACCCCCCCCACTCCCAAAAAAACCCCCCCAAAAAAACCAAAAAACAACCAACAACATATCTAAACATAATACAAACCATAAAAAGCTGAATGTTCTATTGAATATTATATTGCCCTTAATTTTAGACAAATATAATTAAAACATGATATGTCATTTTTACTACATGTATCATAATTATTATTTGCTCATTGCATATTCAAATTTTTGCATAAAACAGCAGTTTATGAATAACATATAAAATATTAACCTGTCATGGTTTAAAAGTGTTATTATCATTTCCTTCTTTTTCCCTGGATCATTAATTATCGGAAATTATTTGGACTCCTACCAATTAACCAAATTGCCATAAATAACCAACAATGAACCTTTGAGGCTTTCCATTTACTTTTATTCAACCTTTTAAAGATTCTACAAGGAAACTGGTTATCTTTTCAATTTGTCAACAGTGCAGCTAAAACATAATAGCAGTTTGTTTCATATTGTGCATGCAATTTATCACTTTCTAAAGATATCATTAATCCGGCGATGAAAAGTATTTTATCTAGACAAGAAAATATAACTTACGGTAATGTTATGCTGTGACTTAAAAAGTTAAAAGTGAAAGGTTAAGAGTGAAAAGGTTCATGTCCTTAAATACAATGTACAGGATTTACAAACTAAGTTACCAAAAATTAATGTTTTATAATTATGTATTAGTCATGTAATTTGTTTAATTTAGTTAATGTTTTTTTTATAAAACAAGAGCTCTAAGTGTGCTCATATGGCACACCTGAGAATATAAAAAAAATAAGTTTTCATCCATAGGAGTCCTACTAGAAAATACTACATACCAAATATCTTAGCTTTGGGCTTTTTAATTTCAGAGGAGAGGGATTTTAAATCTGTCAACGGTAAGTCAATACCAAATATATAAGCTTTGTGCCCTGAAGTTTATGACTTTTTATAAAGATAAGATTTTACATACTTCATGTATTTCTACCTTTTATGACTCACTTGACCATTAGGCTGGAAGCATTTACACGTATATATCTTTTAAGAAGACCACTTAATCTCAAAATAATTTGAGTGGCTTGGAAGGAGATATTATTTGAAGAAATTTTGAAGGAAAAAAACAATGGATTACTATCATCAGGCCACAAAAGCTTACTTTTTAGCAATATACAAGCCTGAAGGGCATCCTAAAACTACAATACTTATCTGTTCAAGTATATATTAAAATAGCATGTGAGGAAGTTATCCAGCAAGATTGATGTTCAATTTCTACAAAATTACCAACTAGGACATGCAAATAACATACAGAGTGGCAACAATATTATCCCTCCACCAGTAAACTAAAAGTTGCAGCCTAAGACCTATTAAATGTCACATGACTTACAGTTACAACAAATTCTTTAAACCTTATTGTTCGAAACTTGATTACAAAAATTAACAGTTAAAAGGCTAAATAAGAAAATAGTGACAATACTAATTTACCTGACAGTTGTAAGTTCATCAGCAGAGTCAGCATCATCTGCCCCTACGTTATTCACATCGTACGTGTCATCATACTCGTCATCGTACATGTCACGTGTATACGTCACCGTTCCGTCGTCTATCACGACCTCGTGTATCACACCATAGTCTTTACTTATAGCAGACTTTATATCCTTTAATTCAGCTTGGTCACCTATACTGACATTTTCTGTTTTGTCTCTAGAAAAAAAAAAAACTTATTTTTTTAAAACTGCCCAACTTCTAATAAACAACTGTTATCCCTTAGCATGTATCAACGGTTCGATTCAAATAATCTTTAACATCCAATAAAGAAAAGAACATGTATCTAAATGTTCTTTACACCAATACATTTTTAAATTAAAGTTAAAAGTAAATGAATGGGATATTTAGCAACACAGGCTCAGTTTGCTATTTCTCTGTATTTTCTTAATCTGAACCTTCTAATCATAATATACTGTAATACATGTCTTTATTCTCAAAGTTAATACAACAAGCAAATTCGTTGAATTTATATCCCCCACCGAGTACTGGTTATTATTAACACAACAACTGAAGACATAAGGCTTTATTTATATATAAATCATGGCATAAACAGTAATATTCTTTGAACTTGATAAATATTCAGGGCAATAACAGAGCCATAATTTTGTGTTAAATAGTAAAATCTGGAAATGCCAATGAGATGTATGCATACTACATAACTAATCAAGGGCCATAAATCTGAGTTATAAGTATCTGACCGGGAACAAGGCGACTATATGCACATCTCCTCTTAGTATCCCATAAAGTTTCATTGAATTCCAGCCAGTAGAAGCAGAGAAGTAGCGAAGGAAACAAATATTTTTCTATATGGATACTGCATAACTTATCAAGGGCCATAACTCTGAGTTAAAGTGTCTGACTGGAACAAGCCGACGATATGCACATCTCCTCTTGATATTGATGATTCCCATAAAGTTTCGTTGAATTCCAGCCAGTAGTAACTGTTGCAGAGAACTACTCCGGAAACGATTTTTACTCCATATGCATATTGCATAACTAATCACGGGCCATAACTCTGAGTTAAAGTGTCTGACCGGAACAAGCCAAAGATATGCACATCTCCTCTTGGTATTGAAGGTTCCCATAAAGTTTCGTTGAATTCCAGCCAGTAGTTGCAGAGAAGTAGCGCGGAAACAATTTTTACTCCATATGCATACTGCATTACTAATCACGGGCCATAACTCTGAGTTAAAGTGTCTGACCGGAACAAGCCGACGATATGCACATCTCCTCTTGGTATTGATGATTCCCATAAAGTTTCGTTGAATTCCAGCCAGTAGTTGCAGAGAACTACTCCGGAAACGATTTTTACTCTATATACATACTACATAACTAATCAAGGGCCATAACTCTGAGTTAAAGGGTCGGACCAGAACAAGCCGACGATATGCGCATCTCCTCTTGATATTGATGATTCCCATAAAGTTTCGTTGAATTCCAGCCAGTAGTTGCAGAGAACTACTCCGGAAACAAAATTCGGACGGACGGATGGATGGACGTTCTAACAGGAGAGTAATTATGTGGCTACTCTATTGTTCTCTCTATTGTTCTTTTTAGCCACACAAAAGAAAATAGCCACATAAAAGCATTACGGAATGAATGACATCAAAGAGAAAGAACAGTTACCTATTTTCCCTCTAGCCACATAATTACTCTCCTGTGAGTGCGGAAGGACGGACGGACGGACAACGCCGAAGATCTATTTTGTTGTATGTCACATCAGTACAAATGTGAATATCATTACACTTGTTTACTGTTATTTTACAACCGTTTATCAGGAAAAATTCAGGGGTTGTTCTGTACCATTTCAGAGCACTATAATGCACTTGATATCCTTCATATGCTGTAATAACTAAAATATCACCTGATGTGCTAATACATCATTTTTGTGTGGAAAAATTGTCATTTAATGACCTTGACCTTCAACAGATGTCATAACAAATGTGTAAATGTCATTATTACACAAAATGTAAAAATACTGGATATACAAAATTGAAATTTATGGATTTAGTATCTGTTAAAAATCTTTTATGTTTTAATTTTATATGAATGATTATTATGTAATCAAATGTCATTTCTGAAATGAAAAGGATAGCTCGGGAATTCACTGAATTTATTGAAAACGTATCAAAACATATTTGTTCCATGTCATGATAAGATGCATTACTAATTTTATACTCAAAATGACATTTGACAACCTTATAAACATTGCACACAAAATTATAAATACATGTATCATACTTAAATCAGAATCTTAAAATAGGATTTTATAACAAATATATTGCATTTTTAACACATACAGGAAATATAAAAGCTGAGAAAAACAAGTGATATATAAAAACGGTCAGATATTTTATGTTTCTTTAATACCAATAACATAACAACATGTGGTTGTTCATAAACTACATGTACATGTATAAGGAAAAAAAATGGATTTGGAATGGTACAAAAATTCTATCCCATCTTTGTCATAAAAGCACTGAATAAGGAAGAAAACCTGCTGAAAGTTTGTAAAACCAACTTGGGAACAAATGTGCATTAACATTGGCCAGAAGGTATAAAAAGTGGTATGGACAGACAAACAAAACAGTTTCAACTCTGATTTGAACAAACAAAACAAAACTTGATGCATATGGATATTCTTGTCTTGATGATTATATACTACAAAATAAGGATTTTGAATAACCAAGTGTATCCTTGAAACTGATCTGAGGGAGCCCAAACTTGCATTCTGCACATCAACCTATGCTTGAAAGTCTTAAGTTCCTTTCATAGGTCTAAAAGATAGGACAGAAAAACTTGAAATTCGTACTGAGGAACCAAAACCTGTCGTTTGCACATCATCTTGTTATGGTAAACATTTCTGCCATGAAGTTTCTGTTTCTTTCCATCAGTTCAAAAGATAGAGAGCAGACATGAAATTGCTAATGGACCAGGTGCAAAACATTATATGGAAAAAGTAAGATGGTAATAATACAAGTTACCATAAAAAAATATAAAAAAAACAGACAGTAATAATATAAATGATTACTTACAGTTTGCCTTTACGTATTTTCTGTTTGTCTATATCATCTCTGTGGAAAACATCAAACTCATCAAAGTCATAAATATTCTTCCTTTCATGTAACAAACTGGGTGGGGTAACTGCACGTTGCTTTCTGAATGCATTTGAAAAGGTAAAATTACAGGGTTACATAAAATTGACAGAGTCAAAGAAGTTGACTAATGTATTATAAAAACTACATTGTGTAAATCAAACATGGCTTTTATAACAATCTTTGGCAAAAAGATCAAAAGACAGTTATCATCATAATATTTCTATATAGGAATAAATAATTTGAAATTTGCTTTAATGTAGTAACTATATCTTAAGTTTTTATCAGTGCAACATTATTTGGAAAGTTGTTTTTTTTACAGAAAGAGGGTACAAAATATTTTTTTACAAATATTTATTTAATACCTTGGTATTTGTCTATCAACCTCCTGGAGTGATTGCGGCAGTCTATCCTCTAATACAGCATTTATAACTCTCTCTATGTCATAATTCAGCTCTTCTAAACATACCTGCAAATAATCAAACAATATATTCGAAAATAGATGAAACTTTTTCCACAATACTTCATGAAATTGCATTGGCCATCTAAATATCTAGAGACATTATTACGTCAAAATTTTACGATGATTTAATTAAAGATAAATATTTGTTGTGTTTTGATATATCTAACTTCCATGTTACAACAAGATGACCAAATAGTTCACTTGAGAACAAGACAAGGTCTGATAGGCATAGATATAACAGATATCAGAAAAAGATGCCCTAAACAAAGCTTAAAGACAATGAATAACTAGATTTTAATTACAATCACTAATAGGTCATTACTCATGGATATTAAAAAATCTTCAGTTACTTATTTTAAGACAAGAACTGTTCTAAGACAGCACACTCGACTATTATCAGTACAAACAGTTAGAAAAAGGTGCACCATTAACCGGTTTAAACTCCTCAGCAGTCATTATTATGCTGCTGACCGTTCCAAGGCGGCGCCCCACTGTGTTCCTCAGATGTATGTCTATGTTGTTTCATACTGTTTTGGTGACACTTTTGCTTGTGTCCCTTGTTGTTTTCTCGTCTACGGTAAGTATCTTTCCCATTGCCTCTAGTTTTTATTTCTTTGATTAACCCCCCCCCCCCCTTCCCCCGGTCTCCTGTCCCCTTCCCCTTTGTGGGCCTATTATTATTTTCTTTGAATTCCTAATCAGTTGCAAATTATTTATAATTTTAATTAACCTGTCCTTGCTCTGTCTTTGCCCTGTCCTGTTTTTGTTTGGGGTCCGTCTGGGCTCCTTGCCATTGGTTCTTGTTGCTGGGTCATATGGGGGTTGCGTTCATTGAACGCCGCCTTTCCTTGTTGATCTTGTTTATCATATATTATATTGGATAAAATAAGTCAGATTTATAGGACCTGTTTCCATGATGTAAGATAGTAACAGAGAACAAGTGTGTGAAGTTTCAACCTATTCAATTCAGTACTTTTGGAGATACCAACTTGCACACACAAAAAATAACCAACGTGTGAGGGCTATGGCAACGCCAGTATAAAAACAATAGCTCTCTCTTACCTCAATGAATCCCTCACCAAGGTCTGGTAATAAATCTTTCACAGAGGACACCATTGAGTCCAGCTCCACACCTGTCACTTGTGGGGCACATGCTCCTACAATATCCTGTACAAAACAAAATAAAAACTTTCTTACTGTGTCTCCTGTTTGAAATGTGGACATAAGGATATTTATATCAAACATAATGAATCTCAGAAAACAAATGGTATGAGAGCTGTCCATAGGACAGCAACATTCGACTATTTTTAGTGCTTGATAGTAAAAGAGCCTTGATAATATAAAATTATCTAAGTTAACAAAAGGGCAAAATTTTTCTTTAAGTCCATGTTACAGTCATAGGCCTTGGAGAGAGTCCTATTATGCTCTCAAAGAAGAGTATAAAACTTTCAACTTGTTTCAGGCCCATATACCACTTGGAAATATTTGAGGTATTTGAGGTATTACAAAAACTTCAACGAAAATTCTAAGTCGAAAAAGGGGCATAATTATGTCAAAATGCTTGATACAGTTACCTCCCCTTGTCTACAGTTTAGAGTCATGATGGTGTACAAGTGTGCAAAGTTTCATACTGGTTGGAGACCACCAAAACCGGACAACCACCAAACCCGGACGGCCCCGAAAATGCTTAATTTAGTATTTTCTTTGTTCAGTGGTTGTCAGTCACTTTTTTATCAACAATAAGTGCATGTTTCTTTTAAAATTAAGTAAATAAATTTATTTCAACCTCCGTAAATGGTAATATTTTAATGTCTATTTCAAGAATGTTGACGTTGAAATTCGGGGGTCAAGAAAGCAATGCCTGACCTCATATACCAGCTATAATCATTTGCAGAGTGAATAATAGAATATCCAAAACTTCAGCATTTGTGGCTGACATATTGTATATCATGTTTTAAATAAAAAATCTAAACACCCAAGCTTTTATCTGAATTAAATCACATCGTGTTCATATCTGTCCGGACACATGGTACTGTAGTGTAGACAATTTAGGTAATTTTGATACCCTCCTTGTCGAGCCTCAGATATAAGTGTCAATACAATCAGAAATAAACAAACTAGTTTGTTAGTTAGCAGAAGAACCTAGCTGAACCGTGTCAAATTGTTTGGTCTCTAGGTTAAAAATCAAGAAATATGTACGGAAAAATGCTCCAAAAGTGTCCGGTTGATGGTCTCCGACCAGTAGCCATATGTCAATGGACTTTGACAATATTTGAGGTATTACAAAAACTTTAACGTAAAATCTAAGTCAAAAAAGGGGCATAATTCTGTCAAAATGCTTGATACAGTTACCTCCCCTTGTCTACAGTTTAGATTCATGATGGTGTACAAGTGTGCAAAGTTTCATAGCCATATGTCAATGGACTTTGACAATATTTGAGGTATTACAAAAACTTAAACGTAAAATCTAAGTCGAAAAAGGGGCATAATTCTGTTAAAATGCTTGATAGAATTATATCCTCCTGTCTACAGATTGGGGTCATGATGGTGAACAAGTGTGCAAAGTTTCAAAGCCTTAAGACACTCGGTTGATTACAATAGCTCTACTTATTCTTATCGAATAGTCAAGCTAAAAATGTAGACTTTAAATGATTTTATATATGAAGATTATATGTAATATCCCTAGAGAACATTCACATCAAAATTTGACAAAATCTTTCCCGTTTGTTAGTCCATAATAAAACTTGAAAGAAAAACAAGTCCAATATAAAATGATTCACTCTAGAGTAAGGTGCTGATCCTGAACCCTTATGCATTGATAAAAGCATTTCAATGAAATAGATAAAATCAGAACTGTGGAAGCGCATTCTTCATCAAGAGCAATGGCTCATCTACTCTAATTGTATACTGATATTAAAATCTGTAAATGAACTGAAACCTGTCTGTTTGTTCATCTAGTTATTACAATGACTTCAACACAATTTTGGTCATTTCTTGACAGTTTGTCCATATATCAGGCTTTCCTAGATAATTAACCAGTATTATAGAGAATACATGGTTGATGTGGGGATGCAGAAAGTTTATCCGGTGAGCGAGAAAGTGTATCTTGGGGAGCTTTAGCGAGCCAAGATTCACTTTCGCAGCGAACCAGATAAACCTTCTCCATCTTGACATCAACCATGTATTTGATTTATCCTGCTTTTAATCATGTTTTTAGAATAAATAAATGGTTTCATTCTTACTTTTCTCTGATAAAATAGCATCTATATGTTGTTTTGTTTTGCTGCTAAACAGTTGATGTCATCATATGACGTAATGACTGGAGATAGATAAGTTTATTTGTCAAGGCTTTATCCAGCTGATGATATTGACAGTAGCAGGATAAAATTAATTCCTCTGCATGGGACTGACTACCCATCCCACATGCTCTCTGAATCAGCTTTGAGAGACAATTGACCATTAGAATCAATGTAAGAGATCAATCACTGAGAAATTTCGCCTCACCCAAGGATTGATCTAGCAAACAATCGTTTACAAATTCGGTCCTACTGAGCCAAGCTAGTTGTGATCAGCCTTCTAAAACAATGTAAATAAAGCTTACAGAATCTTCTACTTGGTATACATCTGCCGGCACACTTGTAGCCATCTGCTGCACAGGTGATGTGTTTCCTCCACCTACAGCTCCAACCATTTCACCAGACGACCCATCAGGACTTCTTCTCCCACCTCTTTTCATTGCACCTTTTGGGGACTTTCTCTTTCCATATGTAGAGAATGCACTATTAACAGCATCTTGTATATACTGAAGGCGTGTCTCATCACTGCTCTAATGTCAAGGTTATATCAGCCAATATCTAATGTCAATCTTATATCAGCCAATATTTAATGTCAAGGTTATATCAGCCAATATTTAATGTCAAGGTTATATCAGCCAATATTTAATGTCAAGGTTATATCAGCCAATATTTAGCAAGAGTAATACTCCTAAGTTAATAGAATAAGCGTTCCCTCCAATCTAATATTTATAATCAGACATATAATTTCAGCAATTTATAAAGGCAAAATTTTCAAAATTTGTTATCATATTTAAAACACTGTATTTCAGTAAACAGAAATCTGTTTCAAACTACGCAATTAGACTGGTTTATAAAACTTTTAAACTTGGCCAATACTTTGAGGTACAACTAATACTGAACAATTTATACATGTATTGTTATCAAACTGATAAAAAAAGAATGTTCCAAGTGAAAAATCATTGTTTTTAGTAGCAACTAGCAAGTACTAAAAGTTTGATACAAGGATACATTCCACATGCTGCCTGTGACAAAATCTCAATGTCACCTTGGAAACTGTGTAAACTCTCATAATCTGCCAAAAATCTGCAAAAAATACAAACATGTTTGTATCTTCAACAAAAATTAAACTGACATAAGTAATAGAAAGAGCATCGAAACACGAGGCTATCTGATTTGTACGAAGGGGCGTAGCCCCCGAGTATAAATCAGATTGCCGAGTGTTTTGATGTTCTTTCTCTTTTGTATCATAGTCAAACATAAAAACACGTTCCCTGATACCACAAAATGAAACCCCACAAAAAAGTAACCAATGAACGAGCATCTGAATATGATATTTCCATCGCTATCCCTTTCTCTGTCGTCACAATATGTAAACCCCGGACAAAATGAACCAATCAATGGGCATGCTCTGGAGTGCGGGTAACTAATACCTGCACTCCAGTTAACGCACTGTGCATGTATATGTATACGATTTAACTCGAACACATTTTCAACAGCAAGGTCCCCAAACTAAGATACAACAAATTTTGTGAGACTACATATGCCTGTTTTTTGGTCCGGTTGGATACTATATACATCATAAGGTGATTTCCAAGCTTAACTGAAGGTGTAAAAATCAAGTGCCCTTTAATTCATTTTTTCAGACATGAGAACAACCACCAACCTTCCTTAAGCTAGCTTTATAGCTTTCTCACAAGAAAAAATCAAAGTTTCATGTAGAATTTGTAGGGGCTTTTGGTTTAGTGTAAATGTATTTGTGCTACGCAATAACTGTTGAACAATAATTGTATTAATTTATGAAAAATAATAAGGCAATAACTTTAATGATGAATGACCCTCTGAACCTAAACATTTCAACACATAAACACATTAGGATCATACCTTCATATAGTTTTTTTTCCTACGAGTATATACATGTATAATCAAACCCAGATTGAATGTTCATACATGTTTTCTTGATAAAGTATGCATCTAAAGTAATCTCAGAAATAATAGTCCAACAAAAGGTTAAGGAAATTATATAGGATGTGGTTTTCTACCTTCGTTCTGCTAATACAGATGATACAATATGGAGATAATCATCTACAAAGTCTATAACTGGTTCCCTGTAAAATACAAACAAAATATCTGTAAACAAAACATGACAGCTATAAAACATTACAAACAACAATGTATTTGCAAAGTTAAATACCATCTTATCTCTAAAGAAATAGCTGCTTAATTAATAAGTTTTAATTAATCTTAATTAGTCTTAATTAATTTTAAGAAATACATAATTCAATTTTAAATGCAATTCTTAAATACAAGCCCTTGTTTCCTTGAGCAGGAAACTTTACACACATTGCAAGTCATTGCTTAGTACAGGTTGGTTTTAGGAAAGGATTCAAGAGTATTTCAATCAGTTTATAGCTTCCAACACAATGGAACTAAAATAAATTTGTATAAACACACTGTTTCAAGCAATGAGCATAAGCTTGAGAAAAACTTAACAAATACAACTGTCCATTTACATCAAAAATATAATCAATGCCAAGTTTCTACATTTATGTTTATAGCTGAACTTACCTTTTCTCTAATATAGGTTGTATACAGCACTGGGCCATTATAGTTTGGAAAACAGTCAAAAGGCATTTCTTGGCCTGGATTAAATACTGCTTCAGTAAAAGCTTTTCTCTGTAAATGATAATTTTTTTATCACATGTGTATAATACTTACAATAAAAAGTTGGGTTTCCTTTACATAGATTTGATAATACAGAGTTGGTCAGACTACAAAATAAAGAACGGTATACTAACTAGATGCAATTATGAAATTATTTCTTCTATTGAAGGTTATTCCAAAAATTATTTATTCTGATATGTTGATAAAGACTCTTTTTTTACAAAAGAATGGTAATTGCAATGACTTCTGAATTTAAGTAACTGAGTTTGTTGTCCATAAATATTATCATAACTTGATCTTCTTTATAACTTACTTTGTCTCAATGTCTCTCAGTTTCAAAGCTGACAAAGCTTCTGGTATAACAGCTTCATAAAATGATGGTAACCTATAAAACAGAAACACTCATCTTTAATCATGAAGACAGTTTACTTTTTCTTTCTACACTAAGCTCTAGTAATCCTAAAAAGGCCACGTATAATTATGTAAGCTGTCCTGAAATGGGATAATGCAGTTTCTGGCCAAACACTTCATAGCAAACATACAAAGATTAAACAGAATGTTTCAAAGAAAATGTGTTGGTATGATTTATGAAGGTTAAACCCTATGGCAACAAAACAACACCCTTAAAAATTCCACTTTGTATCTTTTGCTTAAGTGAGGACAAAACGGCTCACGAATATCTACCTCACTAGAAAATCACTATCATGAAACGCTTGGCAAGCTGATGGATAAACTTCTAAAAATGAGGTCAAGGTCATTCCAATATCTGACAGATACAACACAATGTCTGTATACTCTGTCACACTCATAGTAACCAATGGCTGTTTCATGTTGCTATGGTCACTAAGCTTCTGTGGAGAGTGGGAGCCACTGTCAAACCTGATTCCACATTTACCCATGACACTGTCAAATACCTGAAATATAAAATGCAGTATAAAATAAAGACTGCCCACTTATTTCTTTAAATACTACTGTAGTAGATCCCTTCCAGAAATGTCTTTGCATCATTTGAAAGTGAAATGCTAAAGCACAGAAAACAAGAAAATTTTATACATGTAAAACATAAGTAACTAAGCTGTAATTATATTATTCAAATGTTATACAGAACTAATTAATGAATTTCTATTTAATGTGGGCACACTCAGATGAGTCATAATTTTTCTTTAAATGACATTGCAATAACTAGCACTGTATACTTTAAATTGGAAGGTCTACATATTTTACAATGCATGAATCACTAAATAAAATTCATAGCTAGATAGTTAATTACTTGCCCCCAAATGCAGCAGCTGTGGGTTTGGACTCTGGATTATCTTATGTGAGGCAGCAGCTAGCTAGAGGTCAGTGGTTCTAGTCCGGTGCACTCTTGTGCCAGAACTAATAAACCGAGTGACACAGAGTTTTACTTCCACCAGATAAACTTAAAAGTTGTCATATGATCGTAATAGTGCCAGTTTTAGTTAAATCACAACCAATCACAGGATATACATTTGTATAAGTGAAAGACATGTCTTACAATATAAATAGAACTGTTTTATATCAAACCTGTGATAGTGTACCAATGGTTTGCTCCAGATCCTCGTTGTATTTTGGCTGCTTGGTAAAGATGTTTTCAATCATTTTGGTCAACAAAGGGCCATTACCCTGTCCATATAGTACACATATGTCTAACAGCTTTGGAATGTCAAATATAAAATTCTCATAAAGAATCTCACCAAATACACTTGGGGTAATATAACATTCCTGAAAATAAAATATAGCACGGTCATTGAAGCATCACATCTCTACTTTCATGATATTTTCACAGTAAATTTATCAAGCACTTTTAATTTGTAAAACAATGTTTAATGAACAAGCAAAGTACATGAAGCTACCTTAAGATATCTATAATTTACATTAATTACATATAATGTTCTAAAATATGCAAACATGGCTCATTTTTAAATTGGACTTCTTTAAGTTTGTGACTAAAGCAACTTTCTCAACAAATTCTGTCAGAAGGTTTCAATTTCATTTTAACTGAATGTTGTGCATTTAATTGAACACCATAACATTATTAACTTGTTACAACTTCAAAACTAGGCTACACTTCATAATTATTCTACACTTCAAAACTAGGCTACACTTCATAATTATTCTACACTTCATAACTAGGCTACACTTCATAATTATTCTACACTTCATAACTAGGTTACAACTTCATGATTAGGCTAAAATTTCATAACTAGGCTACAACTTCATAAATAGACTACTACTTCATAACTAGGTTACAACTTCAAAACTAGGCCAAAACTTCATAATTAGGTTAAAACTTCATAACTAGGCTAAAATTTCATAACTAGGCTACAACTCCATAATTAGGTTACAACTTAATAACTAGGCTTCAAAATCAACTGTATTTATATGTGTGAAAATTAAGTTCACTTTTAAGTGTCTACCATTTCACAAAACCTTCATATAACAAAAGAACTATTTAATTACAGTAGAACTTCTATGAGTCGAACTTCGAATAGGCGATTTTCTCGATGTGTCGAAGTAAAATGAAAGTCCCGATTTTTTCCCTTATATATTCCTTATAAAAACCTATGTATGAGTCGAGATTTTATGTGTCGAGTTTTTCGATGTGTCGAAGTTTTTTTGTGGTCCGTATATAATAAATCTAGTACAATTTACCACAAATAAGTTGAAGTTCTTCGGTTATTTTGACACCTTCGATCTCGAGACATTTTCACACCTTTTCTGGCCACGAAGACGACTTCCGATCAACTTAAGGTACAGGTGTTAATTACACAGCCGAGTGTTCAAACAGTCTTTGTATGCGTTTAAATGTGTGAAAAATGCTCTAATCATTACTATTATAATTGCCGTAGCAGTATTTGAAAGTACATGTAAACAGTAAGAACTATCATTTGAGTATTTCCGTGACCCGGTGTCGCGTGAAAATCACACGCGAAATATTTACTATAAGCTGTTTTAGTTATTGCCCTTTTGTATTGTTCCCCTTTTGTTACTTAATTGTATATGTCACGTCAACAGGGAGTCCAAATCATTAGCCGTGAAAAGTTACTTAACATGTCATATTTATCATTGTATAATGTAAAATATCAGATTTATGAATGAAAGAAAAACATGAAATAGGTTACATTATAGATCTTATAATTAGGGCTAGTCACGGGTTGAAATTTTGTCATGAAATTCAGACCGATTCATGAGTCGAAGTCCTGATATGTCGAAGTTTTTACACAAGTCCCTCAAACTTCGACTTACCGAAGTTCTATTGTATATGTATTTAATACAAATCGATAACTGTATATTTCAGGCAAACCTTGGATTCTTTATATGTCGACATACGGACGCATGTCATGAAGACAAGTCTATGAACTTGATTATGTCTATCTCTAGCATTGTCTGGGAAATCAGCTAGTATATTGTATGATCGTGGAGCAAACCGTAGATAACTGTCTATACAGCGATGCAGTGTCTCGTCAAATATTGCCTGTAATATGAGAGATATTTTTATTTCATACATAATATTAACCTTTATACTGATGACTTTGTGTAATAGATTTACACCCATATGATGTTTAAGGGATATTAACATCAAAATACAAAACAGCTCAATAACCAGCGGTAAAGATTTTACTATAAATCAATGCATCTAATAAATTCGATTTTCTTGAACTTACAGGGAATCATATTGATTTAGAATGAGATAAACATCAAGAGCAAATCACAATTAAATATAAATAATACATATTGAATGCAGATACCTGACACCAGAATTTGTCATGTGGAAGCTGCAGTAGCCAGTGTAGATCATCCTCTATGAACTTTAACCTTTCTAACCAAGCTTCATATTGCCCTTTGTCTGACAGATTTTTGGGTGGAGGCTGATAACTTACAAACTGTACTTGTTCCATCCATCTCGGATCCTAAAAGCAGTTTAATATTAGAATATTTTTTATTTCAAATCTTTGTAGAAAACTTTTTAATTTTTTAAAATTTAAAACAAAAAGTGGCGAGAAACTTAGTACAGATCCACTACGTGAGAATATAGCAATATAGAGAATATAGAGAATATTTGTTGATTTTTCGTTATATCTTTCAATACTTTAATATAGATCATATACCTTGTTCCTAGACTTTTTTTCCTAATTCCAATGATACACATTTTTCCAATGAAGCTCTTGTACTTTCCTGGTATGCTTGCAAAATATGTGAAATATATTTGCAATACACCAATTGACAGTTTCAGAACTAGCAGACGACAGGCTATTCTTATCAGTAGAATTGCAAGTAAAAATAACCAGTTGCGTATCTCACTGTATAAATCATATGTAGAATGGTCTGACTTGTGGTAGGTTTAACCGTCAATTTAAATGCCTTAAGTGTGAAACGATGTGTTAAAATATATACTGAGATGAAGCTAAGATCACAAGCTTTTCATTGGTGTAATAAATTAAAAAAACGGACATTAATAAATTGCGCCAAACTAGCAGTTTAAACACAACTAAATTTGTGTTGTTTTAGCATTAGAGATATCAATTTTACTTGAAGATAATAGAAAAAACTATTATTTTTTTCACCCGACATACCTCGGTTATTTATGTAGTTCATGTACAGACTGTCAATAAGTGTATTGTTAATTTCATTTTGGCTAATATCTTACCCATAATGACACCAGGAAATTTTATTCTTATATGCTACATTTCCCCTTATTTGTCTATGATGTATGTAGTTTTTTTACAAATAAATGAATAAAACTTTATTCACTATAATCTGTCAAAAATCGTTTCTACAATTGTCACCAAATTGGGGCGAATCGTTAGTGGGACGAATATTTTATCGACAAAATAACAGGCTTAACATTTTATCTTACCAATGCTGCAACAGTTTGTTTACTTTTCCCAGATTCTACAATAACATGCAGTTTATCTAGTGGACCACTCATTTTTAATTGTGAACTAACAAAACGTGAAATTGGTTAGGATAGTCAGCCTAGTGTCAAAAATTATTGCGCAACGATAGATCAAGAATTCATCCGAAAAGGATCCAGGAAAGGGAGAAACAATTAGTTACATGGTAAAATTGTATATTTGAGGTACAAAAATTCTACATAAAAAGGTACACAAAACTTAAAAAAAAAATTAAAATTTCAATAATATTTTTGAAAATTGTACAATTAAAAAGCTTCACTAGTTAGCAAGTCTTATTGCGATAATTATTCCATGTAAAATTACTGGTCCACAAGACAAAATGGCAGCCTCCAGCAAGGAAGAATATTTGAAAAAGTATTTATCTGTCAACGCAGAAGAAAAAAAGAAAAAGAGGAAGAAAAAACCTGGAGTTGCTCCGGCGAAAATAATTCGGTACTATTTAATATATAGATAATTGTTAACCAAATCACCAAAACACTGTCATTTGTCACTTTTAATGTTGGCGATTTTGTAGTTGTACGGATAAACGTTTCAAACAGTCAAAGTGTCGTTTGTCTGTGACAGATAACAGCTGCTGTCAGCTATATGCTACAGTATAGAAGTTTTCATTAATTATTGAAGAAAATTTTATAGTGATCCGTTAGGTTAGTCGGTCAAAATGTGGAAAAGTAGATCTATTTCTAGTCCTATAACATAAGACGTTTCCGTTTGTACTACGTACACTCCAACGTCTCATCGACTTCTTCATAAGTTCCTTTAGCAAAACCCGCCCACATGTATACAGGTAAAATGGTCAAATGTATATAGCGGTGAAAGTGGTAATATGAAATTAGTCAAAGCCTTTGAACGGGGAAGTCGTTTAAAAAATTCCTTTCATTCTTTCCGTTTTAAAGGTGTCATTCGGTATTACATGCACCGCTTCCGTTTTCACTCGGAAGACACGATGATTATTATTGATCCGAAAACTTGAGATTTGCTCCGTTATTGGAATACTCCGCGTATTATCATTGAGTTACATTGTGATTGTAAATTGTGGTGCCCGACTAGAACTGACACTGAAAATTTCATTGATACTATATTTTTTTTAATTGTTTATATTTGATTTTCTTTTAAATATACACGTGTAGTCTATAGCCGGGCAAGCCAAAGCCCGGACCCGCTTTGCGGGCCCGGTCTTTGACTTTCCCGTATAAATTGTATTGCATTGGATTTATTTACATTCGAAAGTGAGTCATTTTTTTTTTTGCTGCACATTTATGCAAAAATGTTTAAATTTACTGTCTGCATATCTTTTGACTCAAAATGTTGTTTTTGTAGAAAATTACAACGGTTTACATAGCGCTTCAAAATCGCTGCATGTTTTGCTAAAGGAACTTATGAAGAAGTCGATAAGACGTTGGAGTGTACGTAGTACTAACAGAAACATCATATGTTATAGGACTAATTTATTTCCAAAGATTTGGCAATTTACAAAAAAATCACTATATTTAGTATATATTTTTTTCAACACCTTGTTGGATTTATTGGATGGTGTATTGTTTTTATTTGATTTCTTTTTAAATATACACCTGTAGTCTATAGCTGGGCAAGCCAAATCCTAGGACCGCAGAACATATGAATTCCCCATATAACTTAGGTCAAGGCTGCCTAGGTCACTGCTACTGACAAAAGAACTATTAATGTAGCATTGATTTTCATGCTAAACATCCCAAATAATATTGGTTTGCTCTTATTATTTAAGAGCCAGTAATTAAGCCAAAAATAAGTGTTTATCTGATATATATGTGAACATGTGCATGAACCTCGTAACTTATGAAATTGAATAAGTTGAAAGTCACTAAGGCTTTAGAGAATTTTCTTCATTTCTTTCCTTCATAAATATATGAATATAGCTTTATAATTCAAGAAATAGAGCAAATTCTATATCATGGTTCATACAATTTAGCAATGTTTTATTTTTAACTTCTTAGATCAAGAATTGTTGATGATGATGTTGACTTCAGCAGCTTATTGCCAGAGAATTTAGCTAACACATTGGAAGAGGATGTTGGTGATAATGATCCTCAAGTTGCTGATTTTGTAGATGAGAGACCAGAGATTGTGAAACAGTTAGAGGCATACAGAAAATCAGGAGCATGGAAAGTTCTTGGCAAAGGTTTCAAAGTCTTGATTTTTTAAAATGCTTGATAGAGATACAGACATGTATGATTTATGTGACCAAAGCTTGTAAAGGTTTAGAGAGGTCAGTTTAAGTTGCACCCACCTTTAATTCAGAACAAAAATCCTTTTAAATTTAATCATAACAGATGTCATTTTAACATGAATAGATTGAAAGGCAAGTATTAATCTCGGTCTTTGTCAACATCTAAAGGTGAAAAGTAAAATTTATACTTTGGTGTGTAACATAAAGAATAAATCAGCATGTCACTGCAATTGTTGCCGATGAAAAATACTCTGTTACATGTTAATCAAAACCTTGAATTTTGTGAAATTGGAGAAATTTCCAAGAATATGTATTTTGAAATATGTAAGTTTTTTTTTATTGTTGATTTTCAGATGAAGAAAATAGACATGATTCAGATTCTGACCAATCACCAAGAAGAAGACAAAGGCATGATTCAGATTCTGACCAATCACCAAGAAGAAGACAAAGGCATGGTTCAGATTCTGATCAATCAATACCAAGAAGAAAAAGACATGATTCAGATTCTGACCAATCACCACCAAGGAAACATAAAAAAAACTCTAGTATAAGTATTGAAAGAAAGAGAAAAACAGGTGAAAATACGAGCAATAAATCAAAGTCAAAGAGTGATAGTGACCAATCACCTAGAAGGCAAAGGCACGATTCTGACAGTGATCAATCGCCTCCAAAGAAGCGGAGGCATGATTCTGAAAGTGACCAATCACCTCCAAGGAGGCGGAAACATGATTCTGATAGTGACCAATCACCTCCTAGAAGAAGGAGGAATGATTCTGATAGTGACCAATCACCTCCTAGGAGGAGGAGACATGATTCTGATAGTGACCAATCACCTCCTAGAAGAAGGAGGAATGATTCTGATAGTGACCAATCACCTCCTAGGAGGAGGAGACATGATTCTGATAGTGACCAATCACCTCCTAGAAGGAGGAGGAATGATTCTGATAGTGACCAATCACCTCCTAGAAGAAAGAAAACTGGTACAGGATCTGATCAGTCTGTACCAAGACGATCAGCATCAAATAAAAATGGAAATGGTAATGAAAGTGCAATAAAGTCAAAGACTGATAAAACCCTGTCTGGAAAAAGGGCAGGTTTATCCTCTGCCCAGGAAATGAGAAGAGAAGCAGAAGAGTTAAAAAAGAAGGAAGATGCCAAATTTAAACAGGTTTGTACTGGTTTTGTGTTACAGGCAAGCTGAAGAAAGAAGAGTACTCAATGTTATGTAATTAGAGGTCTTTGTCTCATATTTTCCTATCATCTTTAATCTAATTATGTATATTGTTAAGCAGTATAAGTGATTATTATAATGATAAATAAAACTTTGTACATTGCACAAGAAAGGAAGAAAATCTTAATTTGAATTTAAATACATGCAACTTTTTGCTGACATCCATATATATGTAAACAGCATAACAACTTACATGTATCTTGTGTTCACACCAATTGTTTTTTGTACTGTTTATTATTGTGTCAAGTAAGGCTCCCACGTTTACAATTTTTAGCTAGACTATTCGATAAGAATAAGTAGAGCTATTGTAGTCACCCGAGCGTTGGCGTCTGCGTCAGCGTAACCACTTATGTTAAAGTTTTTGTAATACCTCAAATAGGGGCGTCCGTGGCCGAGTGGTTAAGGTCGTTGACTTTAAACCACTTGCCCCTCACCGCTGTGGGTTCGAGTCCCGACAGGGACTTTGGATTCTTTCATGTGAGGAAGCTATCCAGCTAGCTTACGGAACGTCGTAGGTTCTACTCAGGTGCCCGTTCGTGCCTGAAATAATGCACGGAAGGGCACCTGAGGTCTTCCTCCACCAGTAAAGCTGGAACGTCGCGATATGACCTATACTGTGTAGATGTGACGTAAAACCCAAAACAAAACAAAACAATACCTCAAATATTTTCAAAGTCCATTGACATATGGCTTTGAAACTTTGCACACTTGTTCACCATCATGACCCCAACCTGTAGACAGGAGGATGTAACTCTATCAAGCATTTTGACAGAATTATGCCCCTTTTTTGACTTAGAATTTACGTTAAAGTTTTTGTAATACCTCAAATATTTTCAAAGTTCATTGACATAAGGGTTTGAAACATGTTGAAATTTTATACTCTTCTTTGAGAGCATAATAGGACTCTCTCCAAGGCCTATAACTGTAATATGGATTTAAGAAAAAATTTGCCTTTTTCTTTACTGAGAAAATTTTACCTTTTAATCAAGGCTTTTTTTTACTATCAAGCACTAAGAATAGTCGAGCGTTGCTGTCCTACTGACAGCTCTTGTTTGTAAGGCCCCCACGATTACACGTTTAAACGGATTCGTTTCGATTCCAATTCATTAAAGTAGGATATTTTAACCAATACCTCTAAGAGAATGAACTGTAGTTGATCTTACAAAATTCTTAATCAATAATGCCTGAATCATGGATCCTTCTAAAAGGGGGTTTATTTCCAGAATGAAAGAGAACAGAAGATAAAAAGAGGAGATTCCAACCCTAAACGGGTTTATGGGTGTTACAATGCAAAAATGTAGTGTACTCAATTGTGTATTAGAGTCCTTTGCCAACCATTCTTTATCTATTATGTATTTTACTAAATATTAAAATGAAATACATCTTTGGTACATTCGGAGAAAATTAATTTATACATGCAGTCTGTCATATATATGTAACAGGATAACCCAGACTGTTTCAACGCATCGTTTTTGTACTGTTATTATGTTCAAGTACCACGTTAAAACTGACTACGATAAGAAATTAGCTAGACACAGCTTTGGCGGAGCACCATTATGTTGTTTTGTAATACCGTCAATTTTAACCATTGCTTGGCTGAAACTTGAACATGCCATTACATTAGAAGGAGGTAACTTCTATTCAAGCAATTTGACGAATTATCTTTCTTTATTAGAATTTAGTTAAATTTTTAATAGCTCAATCACAAAGTTCATTGACTGGGTTTGAATCTGTCAGGAATTTTAGCTATTCTTTACATATGAGGAAGCTCATCCAAGCTATAACGTTATAGGAAAGTTGCGTGGTTTCTTACTGCAGAATTCCTTTATCAGCACTAAGATAAGAATGCACGTGCTGTCCGACAGCTCTGTTTGTACGTTTCCGATCGTCAGAAAGCTGGAACGTCGTTTAAATGGTGTATCTATTACTTTTCAAGTCGCAATTGCTGAATAAACTTCTATTTAATACAATTATAAAAATAAAACATCACAATTGAGTAGGCACATATTTTCTTCATTGTATCCCCATTTCGCTCTTTTGAAAGATCAAAGGAAAATCAACTTTCCAAAAAATGTATTATGTCACAAGGGATTTTTGCATGGTAATGCTGTGTGAAGGGTTGTAAACACCCATTTTCCCTTTCTTTACTTTGGAATAAATTAATTAGAACTGATAGAATTCATGATTACAGGCAATGATTAAGATATTTTGTAAGACAATATGGTCATTTCGATTAAACAGTAAAAAATATCGTAAACGTTTATGAATGAAAATCGAAATGAATCCGATTAAACGTGTAACCGTGGGTGCCTTAGTGTCAAGGACTGGTGGCCTGTATCATGAAATAGTTGAGTTGAAACTTAGAGAAATTCACCTATTAAAAATAGATATGCCGGCTACACTGGAACTGGTGAATTAAAACCAAGCTAGATTTGAACAGTATTTGGTTCTAGAACAGATATAAGTAACTGTGCAATTTGTTTTCTTTTTTTATGAATATAGATATCAGATGACAGATTAGGGAAAGGTGCCGCTACAGTATTTAGAGATAAATCAGGAAGGAAAAGAAATCTAGCTGAGGAACGCCTTAAGGAATCTGAAGAAGCAGAGAAGAAAGCAAAAGAAGATGAAAAATTTCAGAGTTGGGGGAAAGGGTAAGACAGAATAATAATGAAGAAAATAATAATAAAGCATAATAAACGTCCCTTATTATAACTCTTTAATTTCCTGACATTGTATGCCAAGGTTTAATTTTTAGTTTGTCAGTAAAACAGGTTATTGGTACTTCTGGGGTGTTCACTTATTCCTAATTTAATGCACAGAAAGGACAACAGAGATCTTCTTCCATTTAAAATCAATCCCTAATACTGGTGTGAAATTCAGCGGGAAAAAAACAATATACAAACCCTGATTCTTATAATCATCAGCATCATCAAAGTCATGTCATATTTTTTATATCTATAATGTATGTCATTATATGCATTTTCACAGCTAATTTCTGCAGAATGGTTTATAGATAATATAAATATAATGATTTTCCAATGAAAATTGATGTTGCACTTAAGTCATGCAGTATTATAAATATACATAATATGAAAAATATCATCATATGATATTTTTTATGCAGTGTTTGTTATAAATATAATAAAAAATTTTCATGCAGTATTTTAAAAATGATGAAATTTTTGTTTACAGATTAAAGCAGATAGAGAATCAGGCGAAACAAGTTGAGGAGGCATTACATGAAGCAAATAAACCCTTAGCACGTTATAAAGATGATGATGATCTAGATGAAATGTTACGTAACATGGATAGGGCTGAGGACCCTATGCTGGCTTTTATAACAAAGAAAAAGAGCAAAAATGCTGGACCTGCAAAAAAAGGTATGAAAGAAGTTGTTTAAGAATTTGCATAATATCTTAAGTTTGCCTGTAATCTACATTTACATTTCTTTCTTTAGTCAAGTGATAAACATCAAAAAACATGAAATACCTTTCTCTGACTTAATGGAGATAATTAAATACAGTCATCTTGTTGGTTGATTGTTTTACCTTGGTGCCATGTTATTATGCCTAAATTATGCAGGGTTACTACTGTAATGTCTTCGTAGATCAGTAAACTTTTAAAAGTCAACGTATAAAGTTAACATTTTTACTTCAAAATTCAAGCAAACTAAAATAAAAAGCATTGGGTATGAAAATATCAAAAGTAAAGTCATTTTGCAATATTAGTTTTGCTACATGCAATGTTCTTTTGATGCATATTTTATAGTTTCTTGATGTGTATTTTATAGTTTTTAATAGAATGACATACAGTGCTGGGATAAACGTAAAATTTAAATAATTTTCAGAGAAACCACAATACAAAGGTCGAGCTCCACCACCAAACAGATTTGGCATAATGCCAGGTTATCGATGGGATGGTGTAGATCGTTCTAATGGGTTCGAAAAACAAGTTTACGCAAAACAAGCTGAGAAGAAGGCTGTCTCGGAACAAGCGTATAAATGGAGTGTTGAGGATATGTGAAATTGTCTGTACTTCATAAGAACATCATGTTTTATTCCTAGGTTGATATTAATTCTGTTAAATTTAATCATGCATAAGAAATTGTGAAGCAGAAATTTTCAAGGAAAGAGAAGGCAGAGTAAAGGAGTTTGAAATTACAAACAATAAAAAACAAAACTGTTTCACTTTATAATGAATATTAAAATGATTTTATCTTTGCTTTCTTAACAGGAATTGAAGGTGCAGCATGTTGTCTTTCAATAAAATTTTGTAATTTTGTTCTTTAAAATGTTGTGTTTGTTGTTTATCAGTTGCACTAAGATATATAGAGGATATTTAAGTTTTTTCTTTTATTTAACAGGATTTATTTTCATTGAGTGGTATAAAATAAATATTTAACAAGTGGCAATAGTCATCAGTGAAATATGATAATTTTCATACCACAAGATGAAAATTAAACCAGTATTTATAGAAAAAAAACTTTATTGACTTATTCAGGAATGGTAATGTCATTAGATCAGAACATGGAAAATAATGTCACATATTTGACACCATTTTATTTGCTCCACTATTTTCATTCTTAGCTTTTGGCATGACCCTCTCAATGGAAAAGTTTAACCTATTGTTTAAAGTTAGTACTGATTTGTTCCAGTAATTTGTGTCTGTAATCTACACAATCCAGTTTAAATAAATTCTGTTTATATAAAAGGTCCATTTACACATTAAGTTCTATCAAAGTTACATGTATTCACTTAAAACTTGATATACTTGTGCATTATTGCAACTTCATGGTTAGGTTTGTTCATTTCTTTTGTTGAATATCTTACTCAATTTCCGCAATGCCTCATTTAGGGCCTAAACAATATAGTTATGAACTTGCTAAGTATTTTCTAGCATCTTAAAAATGCATTGCAGGTCAGACAAGAAAAACTTTAGCTTTCATAAGACAGTATATTCATTTATCCAGTTTTATTGTTGATCTAAAAAGTGTATGCCAACCAATAGAATAATATGAAGAAAAAAGAACATTTCCATATTTTGTATAGCCCTACATATATATAAATGCAAACTTATTTAAAGGGCCATTATGCCCAAGTAATGCTTTTATTTTCCAAAACTTTATTTTTGGTGTCCTGTGATAACTTCAAAATAAATTCTCATAGGCCAATTACCTGAACCCCCTTTTACGTCTGTTGCTTTTTTTTGGGCAATTAGTCCCATTGTAGTGGTTTATTATTGTATATGGTAGTAAAAATACTACTTTGTTTACATGTTGGTACTTTCATAACAAATAATATCACATTCAGCACTACTTTCTTTTTGTTTTAAGCATGTATCCTTATTAAGATGTTATAAAGTAAATGTTTGCCCTTTCTAAAGAAGGAAAAATTTATTTGTTTCTGAGGCAGCATGTGTCTTTACAGGCTTAAAAAATGCAGGCCTTTAGATTAGGGTTAGAATTTTTTTTTTTTGGGGGGGGGGGGGTCATGATTTTGTTTGTATGTAATTAGTTACATTATGCCAAAATTAATAATTATTTTTCTTTCTTTATAAAATTAAAACATCAAGTTTAATAACATTTATGGTTCAAGAGCATGTTACATGCTAAATAAAGCAGTGCTGAATGTGAAAATATTTGTCATATAAGTAGTAATATGTACAGAGATGTAAACAAAGTAGAGTTTTGATTTTCTTACAGAATACTTAATCACTATAACTGTATAAAGAGCCAAAAGGCAACAGAAGCAAAAGTTGGTTCTGGTAATTTGTCAATAAGTAACTTTTTGAAAACTATTACCAAAAATAAAAGCTTTTGAGAAATAATAATAACAGCATTTCTGGGGCATAATTGGTCTTTATGTGCAATGACATAGTCACCAAACGGAAAGTGATGTTAAAGACAAAATCATTGGCTTAATCATTTTTTTTTTCTCTTCAGGTAGTGTAGAACCCCATTCATTTGGAAAATCATATATATACATATACAATAAATATGTAGAATATATGATAAAGTTTCAAATTTTCAAAGTACACATAATTTTTTTTAATTGGAGAGATTATATCAAGCTATAATGTCTAGTTTAATGCTCCTTTATACAGGACACCGTGGTCTTTGAAATTAGAGAACACAAAGTTCACTAATAAGATTTATGTAAATTTGTTAGTCCATTTAATTAATAAGGAATGGTTTTTAACACTTGAATAATTATTTTTTATCAATAGCTATGAAGATAAGTTATGTCTGAGAAAATGAAAAATATTCCTACTGTTGATGATAACAAGAAAATATTTGACATTACAGTGATTTTTTTTTTTTAATTAATGCTGTTGAAAACAGATTGCGTAAGGCGTTAAACGGTTGTGTTCTCAATGAGAAAAGTGGATATAGTCAGTTGTTTCCCTTTGATCACTAACCTAGCCGAGATGACGTAAACTGACCAGACGCTTTAGTCGTAAGCAACTTAGATAATCACGTGATCAATATTTGGATGAACTCTGATATGTACGTACGTTTTGGTTTGAACCTAAAATGGAAATCTTTGTTGACAAAAAAGTTGAAATATCATCTTGATTTCATGCAAAAGTAGTTCTGTATTCACCGAGAAAGGTAAATTAGATATTAGAACTATCGGAAACTATGTTATTTCTAAAACATTTAAAGCGATAGTATCTATGTAACATTTCTGACATTTCATGAAAATTTTGAAAAAGTTCTAGTCTCATCATCAGTTGGGCATCAGCATGCTCATCCTGTAAATCTGTTTACTGTGAAATATTCAGTTGTGATATCTTATTGTTAACTAGATGATATATGCACAATTAGCACAATAATTTTATGTAAAACCACCACTTGGGACCACCAAAACCGGGGTAGACAGACGTTTTACTATTGGGATGGTTCACACCAACTTGACCAAGAGTCAGACGTTTTACTCCCAAAATTATTATGGGAGTGAAACGTCTTGAAGATGTTTCCCTCTTTTTTTAGGGTTTGCCTAAAATACGAAAGTGAGATTTTTGACGAAAGTGAGCGAAAGTGAGCGAAAGTGACTTTTAGAATTTGAATTGTACTGTTTTAATAGAATTTTACAGTAAAATTGCTGTTTGCATACGTATATTATTAGCAACTTATTATATGTATTATAATAAATAACCATAATCATGATTTAATCGCCATTTATTGGCATAATTTCTATATACAAGTTCAGCACTCTTCCTTTCACTTGCATATAAAAATACGAAAGTGACTTGTAAAGTATTAAATATAGAGTTTAAATTGAAAATGTACTATATCTGCAGTTTGTAAACGTGTATTATAAGAAATTACTATTATTTATTTTCTAAATTAATCATTAGACCCCATTTTTTTGCATAATTTCTATATATACACATCAGCGATCTTCCTTTCGCTTAATGAAACATACGAAAGTGACTTGTAAAATATCAAATATAGAGTTTGAATTGAAAAATGTACTTAAATTGCAGTTTGTAAACATATAACATCAGAAATAAATAATTTGATATTCAACACTATATTTCAATTAAACACTATATTTTAGAAGTCACTTTCGTATTTTCTATGTAAGCGAAAGGAAGATTGCTGAACTTGTATATAAAAATTATGTCAAATAAATGGTGATAAAAGATCATAATGATTATTTTTTAAAATAAAAATTATAGATTTCTGATAATATACGTCTGCAAACTGCAATTTTAGTATAAATTTCAATTCCATATTTAATAATTTACAAGTCACTTTCGTATTTTTCAAAGTGAGCGAAAGGAAGATCTCAGAACTTGTGTATAGAAATAATGCAAATAAATGGCATTTAAATCATCATAGACTATATTAGTGATTATTTTTGAAAAGAAATATTATTAGTTGCTAATAATGTACGTCCACAAACAGAAAATTCACTTTGAAATTCTATTAAAACGGTACAATTCAAATTTTAAAAGTCACTTTCGCTCACTTTCGCTCACTTTCGCTCACTTTCGTCAAAAATCTCACTTTCGTATTTTAGGCATACCGCTTTTTTTATGACAAAATTATCCTGTTACTTGTGATTTACTAAAATATACCTTGATTGGATCATCTAATATAATTTTATCTTATTATCTGATTAAATATCCCCGTACTGCCTCTTTCCGATCAGCTAACAGATTTTTCTATAATAACTGACAGTGAAATTCTAAAAATAGAATTTATCTTACAATTCTGCAAATATTATTATTTCAGCTAATAAATGCAACAACTTTTTACAATATAGTTATGAACTTGCTAAGTATTTTCTAGCATCTTAAAAATGCATTGCAGGTCAGACAAGAAAAAACTTTAGCTTTCATAAGACAGTATATTCATTTATCCAGTTTTATTGTTGATCTAAAAAGTGTATGCCAACCAATAGAATAATATGAAGAAAAAAGAACATTTCCATATTTTTGTATAGCCCTACATATATATATAAATGCAAACTTATTTAAAGGGCCATTATGCCCAAGTAATGCTTTTATTTTCCAAAACTTTATTTTTGGTGTCCTGTGATAACTTCAAAATAAATTCTCATAGGCCAATTACCTGAACCCCCTTTTACGTCTGTTGCTTTTTTTTGGGCAATTAGTCCAGTTGTAGTGGTTTATTATTGTATATGGTAGTAAAAATACTACTTTGTTTACATGTTGGTACTTTCATAACAAGTAATATCACATTCAGCACTACTTTCTTTTTGTTTTAAGCATGTATCATTATTTCGATGTTATAAAGTAAATGTGTGCCCTTTCTAAAGAAGGAAAAATTTATTCGTATCTGAGGCAGCATGTGCCTTTACGGGCTTAAAAAATGCAGGCTTTTAGATTAGGGTTAGAAGGTTGGGGGTGGGGGGTCATGCTTTTGTCTGTATGTAATTATTTAGTTACATTATGCCAGAATTAATAATTTTTTCTTTCTTTATAAAATTAGAACATCAAGTTTAATAACATTTATGGTTCAAGAGCATGTTACATGCTAAATAAAGCAGTGCTGAATGTGAAAAATATTTGTCATATAATTAAGTAGCAATATGTAAATAGATGTAAAACAAAGTAGTGTTTTGATTTTCTTACAAAATACTTAATCACTATAACTGTACAAAGAGCCAAAAGGCAACAGAAGCAAAAGTTGGTTCTGGTAATTTGTCAATAAGTTACTTTTTGAAAACTATTACCAAAATTAAAAAGCTTTTGAGAATAATAGTAACAGCATTTCTGGGGCATAATTGGTCTTTATGTACAATATGACATAGTCACCAAACAGAA